CCGCCTTGTTCGAACCTCTTTCTGTACCGCCCTTGACCAACATTGGCATTAATGAATTCCTATGCACTGATCTCGTGGGCAACAACTCTCTGCCGGACACCGATTGGTGCCAGACAACGGCTCCTACAGCCAAAACACCAGGAGCCCAGCACTCCGCCTCACGCCATCGCACGGCCGCCCGCATTTCGTGCTGCTGCGATAAATTTTTACGGCCGATAATCGATCATATTTCCTGGACCGGGAAACCTCGATGGCCGTTCTCTTGAGGTCTTCCGACAATGCCCTTCTCCCCAAGCTGGGTGGCGACTCGAGCGTTGTTTCGAACTAATGCCGGGCAGTGTGCCGAGAACTTTTTGCAATGGACGAGAAAACCAAGTCCTGCGAACACCTTCATCCTCCCACAGACAACTTTATTGACGAGTGTTGTCGAGGATCCGGAGGTTGTCGAAATGGCATGAGGCTGTGAAGATACCGGAGTTGCGCGGAGGACACGCTAAGCCTGATCGACTGGTTCCGAGTGTAGACTGAAGCGCGGACGGCATCTGAATGACGCAAGGAGCGGTAGCAGGAGGCTGGATCTGAGTTGTTGTAAGCACTATCTGCCACTCGGGTGTCATCTTCACATGTCTACGTACACATAGACGGGCGAACTGCACCCACATGATTACAATCCCAAACCATCATGTGGTCATCTCGAACGGCTGGTAGTAGACTAGTCCGTGGTGATCGTATGCGAACTGCCCTCACTTCATTCACATGACTGGGCTCTCGTCTGCGGTCGCTTAATACTTCAACCGATCGTAGATCACTGGTGTGCCGTCATCCCAAACTCTTCATAACCGTGGGCCAGTCGCATGCCCTCCTAGTCCGGCTGTTGACCGTGGGCCATTGCGGTGCCGTCCGCGCGTACTCCTGCTAACCACCTGCCGCTCCTGGCATTCCACGGGGCCATCTATTTCTCACACGCAACCCTGCGCCGATCACCCGCCATGGGGACACCTTATAAAGCAGTGGTGCGTCGTCATCTCGAACACTCGAGGCAGCGCGGGAGACGGCCAAGTGGAATAGTCCGCGCTGATGTCACTCCAGTCGTTCGGGGTTTGGGGGTGTAGTCGTGTGAATGGAGTGGGCCACAATACGCTTTCCGGGGGGACCGTGGACCTCCCAAGTGCCGCAAGAACGCGTTGATAACACTAGAGTGGGCGGCGGCTGACGGAAGAATGATGTGCCCTTCCAATGACGTGTTTGAAGATGAGGGCTTCGCGAAGGCGCCACGGTTAAGCTGATCAGACGGCAACGAGACTACGCGGCAGGCAGCGAATTGGAGGTGACAGCTGATTGGTTTTACAACAACCCAGATCGAGTCTCCTACTACCGCTGTTAGTACTTCAACCAACCACAGATCAGTGGAGTGTTCTCTTTTACGGTGATGACAACACTTCGTCCTTCAACTAGCCGCGACCCACAGCAGCCACAACCATGGTTAGCGAAAGGGCGCGCGGATGGCGCAATGGGCCATTCAGGTGCCGTCCGCGCGTGTTGATGACACTAGAGTGAACGGCTTGGCAACTGTGAGTGGTGTCGCCGTGGTGGGTGATCGGTGCCGGGTACCGAGCCGTTCCACTCGGGCCATCCATCGCTCACATGCGATCGATCGGTGCAGGGTTGCGTGTGAGGGATGGATGGCCCCGTGGAACGGCGGGGCAGTTCGCCGGTCTGTGTGTACGTAGACAGATGTACGTGTGTACGTAGACAGATGTACGTCGGCAGACGACGGACCGCAGACGGTTGACAAGCGAGTGAACCGCTGGTAGAAGACTGGCTCATGGTGATAGTGTGCTCTTGAAGATGACACCCGGGTGGCAAATAGTCTTTGGCGGCTTCTTCGGGCATCCGCCCGCCACCGACCACTACAGTGTCATGACCGTGTGCTTACAACTTATGATGGGTTCGAAATTACGACACGCCGCTGGCTTTGGTTGGTTGGAGTACTAAGAGACGGCACAAGAAAGGTGACGGCTGATTGGATTGGGCTTGTAGTCGTGGGAATGGAGTGGCGTTCCAAGCCGGCCCTCTATCCCTCACGAGCAAAGCGCATAGGATCGTAGACTATATCGACCAAGTTGTTAGGCCATTGGACAAGCCAAAAGGTGGCGGAGACTGCTTGGACGTTAGCTACAAAGAGACGGGGTGCTTGCAGGCCTGGCGGGACGATCCCTTCGCTGGACACCAAGGGTTAAGATTACGACAAAGGGTTGTACGGTGAACGCCCCTAACCAAGTGAATGCCCAAGGAGGCAGGGGGAGGAGTTGATATTTCGGTGCAAAATTGCGGCCGAAGGACGTCGACGTCCCTTCGGCCGTGGTGCGCTTAATGGATTAAGGGGAAGACGTCGAAGCCACGGAGATGAAGGAAAGCTACCAGATGGTGGGCGGGACCGTGGAACTGGGAATTTGAAGCATCCCTACGTCAGCCCGTTGGGAGAGATTTGCTATCAAGAGCAACGGAAGAAGCCACCAAATCGACCGAAGAAGATTTCGAATGCTGATCCATCACAACTCCTTCGGACGCTGGTGCTCGGCCTCGACCAGCCACGGGCTTTAGTTACGGCCAATTCACACAGAGTCGAAAGAGACATGAACGTTTTGTTCATCCCCACCCGTTGTTGCTTCCGTAAAATAACCCTTTCGATACCGTGTGCATATAAACACACCCTCATTGTACAGAACTCTGTGACAAAACAATGTGTGCACACAGTTTTTTGTTACTAGACGGGCTCACCCCTCGCACCGGCCACAGCATGGCGGCGGGTGTGGACTCACATTTATTGCCTATTATTCGCGGTCTCCCACACGAGTAGAGGCGGATGTCCGGTACGGGCAAACAATCGATACGGCTGGTACGAAAGGCTTGTACCAATGTCAATAGTCTTTTCTTGGTTGAAGGTGGCAAGCAATCGGAAGAGAGGAAGCCAGAGAATTGGTCAGAAAAAAGTCCAGTACTAAGTGGAGCAGGCATATAGGGTTCGTGGAGGACCAAAGGTGGCAGAACGTGCGTACGGCTTCGGCTTGTGGGCTGTGAGGCAACGAGAGTTGCGGTTTGTTCAGAGCTCACTTGTAACAGGCAATTTTGCTTGGCCAAAAAAAAATTTGGTTAGGGAAGAAAATTTCTCCGACCCGATTCCACCCACACGCCCATGGGTATCACTAGCGCTTCTCGACTCAGCCGGTTGCACCTAGTGGGCTAGAGAATAGTGCTGTGGTCGAGCAAAATTGGCTGGTCACAGATTATGATGTCCCGCATTCTCTTTCTCGACAGGCAGACAGACAGACAGACAGACAGAGAGGCAGACAGACAGACAGACAGACGATGCCGAGGTCTCCGGAGGGGGCGATATGATACGAGGCAACTAGATCAGGAACAGCCATGGTTTACCGAGATATTTTCCTGGCTAGATCTGTCGGTATACGGGTATATTTTCTCGGCGTGGCTGGTCGGTAGTCGAGGGCTGGAAAAAAATTAGAGGCGGAGATGAAGGGAGTGTGTGGTGAGGCGGTGAGAGGATGTGAGCCCGCGGCCTTGTGGCTTGCGGTTTACGGAGACATGCACGATCCTACGAGTTACTTGGACGTCGTGGCGGTTGCGGAGCCGGGTAGGCCGCCTGCGGTGGTAGAGACGTACTTCAATATGTCGTGCTGCAGCCCCGAGAAGTGGTCCGATACCCTCGAGACGGGCCAGCAGTTTTATCCGCTCGGGGACTTACTGTATAAAAACCGCATTTCGCCGGAGTTGCTGTTGACTATTGTGCTGAAGACTCTGAAGAATTTGACGACCAAGAAAAGTACGAATGGGATGCTGCCGTATGTTGAAAGTATGGAAGATATCCGGGCACGACTGGTTGAGACATCGGAAGGGCTCTGTGGCAAGGATGGTCTGATCTCCGTGGCGGTCGTTGATGCCAGCCGCCCTTGCGAGAATGCGCCATGGGAAGCTGTCCGACAAACGGGTCTGATTTTTCAGGAGATGGCCAAAATTGGCGGTATCATCACCTGCGATCTCCTCAGTACGGATGGAGACTGTACGCACCCGGATTGCGCGGAACAACGCGACCTCCTCCATGCTGTATCCGGCGTAAACGACGACGCCTACAGCAGATACCCGTATTACAGCCGCTATGACACCTGGCTCGCCCGACTGCGAGCTTTCTGTAACCTGCGCAACATCAAAATGCTCAAGGCGCAAAAAATGCAAATCAGAAAGCACAGACATCTCGAGCACCAACCCCGAATCTGCGACCAAGAAGGCTATTGGAAACGCGTAAAAATTGCCCGCGAGATAGCCCCACCTGTCCGACGGTAATGCCGCCAACAAAACGACCGCCGATTTACGCATAGATCGTCATTAGCTTAAAATTCAGCATTTACTTACGGATTAATTTTTCAAGCTAACCAAGTCGTGTGCTAAAGAAGTTTGTCCGTGTCCTGAGATCTGCGGGTGTCAAAGATTTATTGCGTACCACAGACACAGATTCACCATGTGGTGGTGATCATCTACAAGGATCACATTACGTTCTCTCATGTTTGCTAGCAATGTGTGTTACGGTCGGTGTTCCTGGCCGGAAAAAGAAAGGCGCCGTGTTAGAGAGGTCTTCCGTTTCGCATTTCTGTTCCAATAGCGGACATATCAGACCGTTGAACCGCCTTTCGTTGTTGAACCGCCTTTCGTTGTTGAACCGCCTTTCGTTGAATCGCCTTTCGTTGAACCGCTCTGATAAAAGGACCCTTCACCGCTGTGATCAACTGGGTATTGGCCGCGTACGCGCTGGGCGGATTGTGCTCGAAGCAAAGGCTGCTGGAGAGAATGGGAGATAACTGGAGAGAATGTCTGATTGCCTGACTCCACCCAGTGAAGAAATTCAATGAGGTCGTCGGGGTGACAGTGCATCATTGCAGGGTCGAGAACGGCCCGATTCAGGATAGGTTTGTTTAGAAGGATCCGATCCGGGACGTTCCGAGGTGGATTCACGGTCGGTGAAAATGAGTCACCATCTAATCTTTTCCGTTTCGATCCCGGCTTACTCGGAGCTGGCGGACAGCAGGTGTCTGTTGCGCAAGTGGATGTTGCGCAGGTAGATGTTGCGCTAGCTATCTTCTGGAATTCGAGTGGGGACGCCACAAATGGGAGCTTCGTTCCGCTTGGCTTTGGTCTGAAAAGAAGTGTTGCTTGTTCCGCATTTGTGAGCCCGGTCAGCCTTCTGAACTCGGAGATAGAGATCTTCTTGTAAAGGCCGAAGAAAAGTCGGTTGAAACGCTCTTTGGGGTCCGAATGTTTCATTCTCCTACCATGCAGCCCGGGAGTATTGTTATGATGGCATAGACACTCCAGTCTACGTCCATTGGCGGGCGAGTACTGAAGATCCAGAATACAAAAGTCGATTAGATCCGAAATTGGTACCTCTGCATATTGCAACAAGCACCCCGATATCCAAGTCCGGACTCTTCCAGATCTGGCGTGCTCACCCATGGCGGCTGCAGTCTTGGCGACAACTTGCTTGCACACGCCACCAAAAGCATATCGCACATACTTATCAATAATTGTGCCAAGCTCCAGATAGGCTAAGCTGCACGCCTCGAAATCCTCCTGGTCAATTTGGGTCAACTTCTCCACACGGACTCCCAACAAATCGCTCGCTTTTTTACTTAGAGATACGCTGGCAGCCAAAGGGGTCTCCGAAAGGTTCCGATCGTAGCCGGTCCCCGGACAGTATACAGCCGATGCCTTGGGAAGAAAGCCCAGGCGTCGAAATTGACGCATCGAAAGCCTTGGCATTGACAAAATTTTTTCTGCAAATTCGCGCGCGGTAATCGGCGCTGGCGGCAGAGATCCCTCCCGGCGAAGCAGCAGCCCTCTTCTGTCCTTCGTTGTCGCCTTTCCCGCGTACTTCCAGAGCCGCGTACCTCCTTTGAGAACACATTCCAATGACATCGTGCGCGCCGCCGGCACGTATCCCAAAGTATCAACGACAAAGTCGATTAGCTTGCTTGTGGAGACCCCGGCACGTTGTAGTAGGCAGCCTCCAATCCAGTTGTTCTGTATCTTCAATCCCCCCTTCAATCCCCCGGCCCCTTGCAGCCACTCGCCTACTGTCATCTGCGCTCTTTCTGTGACGCCGCCAAAAGGACAATCGACAAACAAAGAAATGATTGACGCAAGCTCCACATAGATTAGCTTGCACTTCCACAAATCCGCCTGAGTAATTCTCTTCAAGTTCTTCCACTCCTCTTCCGACAGTAACGCACTAAGCTTTACCTGAGCGTCGTCGACACTGTGGAACACTTTCGTAACTGCGCCTTTTAGCAAACGCCTGCAAAAGCTATTCCGGTAAACAGTCTTCTCAAAGCCCTTCCTCCAGTCAACAGGCAGACCAGACGTGGCTCTTGCTGACTCGGGGGACGGTGAGCCGGGAGCTAGTGATCCTTCCTCCGCCGGCAGGTGTCCTATGTTTGCTCCTACAGCCAGAACACCAGGAACGAAAGAATATGTTTCTTCACGGAGACGCAGAATTGAGCGCATTCAGTCCCTAATTAATTTTGTCGAACGGGTGCCACGGGCGACGTTCTACAGTAAGCTCCTGAGAGTGACAGAGTCACTCTGCGTGTCAAGGTATATAGGTCAAGGTATCGCTCTGCCACGGCCGTTCAGTCAACCACGATCACAAATTCGGAACATGACAAGGTCGTAACGGAAAAATGCTTTTCACCCCAGAGACGTCGAAGCGTGAAAGGACTAATAATAGTCCCACTCTACCCACTTAAGATATTGAATGAGATCATCTGGGTGGCAGTACATCATGGCGGGATCGAGGAGGTCTCGGTCACGGACAGTTGGGTCTGTTGTAAAGATTGGGTCCATTGTCTGTGGAGGGGAACCCGGCGTCCTGGACGCGTTCGTCCTTTTCAGAGCGGGTGGACTGGGGGAGGATAGACTTGGGGGTGGTCGACTTGGGGGTGGTAGGGGTGATGGTGTGCAGTCAAGAGCGTCCAGCGACCTGAACGGGGGATGGTGGCTCGCAAAGACGAAGTTCGCTTGTTCGTCAACGTTCAAGGACGTCAATCGCTTGAACTGCGACAGGGAGATCTTCTCATGTAGACCGCGTAAAAGTTCCTGGAGCCGTGCTCTCGGATTCCGAGCATTTGTCCGCCATGCTCTGAAACGAGCGTTGGAGTGTTTCAGACACTCCAGCCTCGAGAGCATTGACGGCGCGTACTTCAGCTCTTGCACGCAGAAGTCAACTAGATCCAGAACCGGTACCTCTGCATATTGCAACAAGCACCCTGCTATCCACCCATTGACATGCGACGACCTGGTGCTTTCCTCCAAGGTGGCTGCGGTGTTAACCAGAACACTCCTGCTCACATAACCGAAGGCGTCCCGAACACGCTGATCCACAATTGTGCCGAGCTCTACATAGTCCAAGCTGCACGCTTCGAAGTCCTCTACCCCAATTCTGAGCAACTTCTTCGCGCGTTCACCCAACAGTTTACGCGCTTTCCTGGGTGCGTCTTTGAGAGATGCCACAGCGGCAGCAGCGCCCCCACGTGGTTTGCGTAAGCAGCCAGCTCTCGGGAGGTACACCGCTGGTGATCTTGGTCGTTGGGTTCTCCGCTTGGGTCCCACCTGTCGAGGAACTCCCGCTCGAAGTTCACTCAAGCAAGGGCTCACCATCGGAAAGATCTGCTCTACAAATTGCCGGGCCGTAATCGGGGCCGCAGCCAAAATCTTTTCTCGCTCGAGCAGCAACTGCCTTGTGTCCCCCACAGTTCTCCTCGTCGGATACCGTAAGTCTCCCTTGCCAAGACACTCCAAGGAGGTCCGCCGCTTAGCGGGTATGTATCCCAAAGTATCGACGATAAAGTCAATTATTTTCCTCGTAGAGACCCCGGCACACTGCAGAAGGCAGCCTGCGATCCAGTGGTTCTGAACCCTGAATCCCCCGACGCCTTGCAGCCAATCACTTACGTTCCTCTCCGCTCTTTCTGTGACGCGCCCAAAAGGACAATCGACAAACAAAGAAATGATGGCCGCAAGCTCCACATAGACTAGCTTGCACTTCCACAAATCCGCCTGAGTAATTCTCTTCAAGTTCTTCCACTCCTCTTCGGACAATAATTCGTTCAACTTTACCTTCGCGTCATCCACGTCCTGGAACACCTGCTGCGTGATCGACAATTGCGTTAAACAACGGCAATCGTTATTCCAGTAAACCGTCTCCTTCGAGCGGCCCGTTCCACTGACGACCAAGGATGACTTGGTGCGCAATGACTCCGTGGCCAACGGCTTCAGCATCGACTCCGGTGGCAGCGACCGCAAGTCGATAGACCCCTTTTCTACTACGTTGTTGCAGACACCTGCGCCCACAGCCAGAACACCAGGGACCCAGTTCGCCACGTCACGGCTTCTCGGGGCCCGCATTCCTTCCAAATTGAATTTGAAAAGGGCGCAGCCAAGGCCAGGGGAGTGTCCCAGAGCTAGGCCATGGAAGTGTCTCAAGGCTACACCAGGGAAGGTCTGAGGCCTTTGTGTGTGTGTTCGTGACCACACAATTCTGTGATCGCGCCACCGTAAAAGCATGAAGTGGGCGGCGGCATAACCATGAACATAATTTCCGCCCTCCTCCCTACCGCCTGGTGGTCTGACTGTGTGGGTGACGGTGTACCACCAGAATGAGGAGAAGCCTTCGTGGGTCTTTGGACATATATATTAGAGACCTGGTGTTCTCGGAGTTAAGTCAGGTAGTGTTCCAACGGAGGCTATCGTGCCGGAAAAGGGTTTGACGTCCTGAACGTTTAACTCGAGTCAGAAATTAATGACGGCTTGATTCCACCCAGCTGAGAAATTCAATGAGGTCGTCCGGGTGGCAGTACATCATGGAAGGGTCAAGCACGGTTGTTAGCCCGCCCGGCTCCACAGTCTGCGGAGGTAACTTTCCCGCTGGCTTTTCCTGTTTCGAAGTCGGAGCTGATGGAACTTGAGCTGGTGGTTTCGGGGACGACTTTCTTGCAACTGTGCAGCCGAGAGTCTCTGTGCGCTTCAAGGAGGCTATACATGAGTAATACCTTCCGCGCAGAAACTCTTTTTGTTGTTTGCCGTTCATCGCCGCCAACTTTAAAAACTCAGGGAGGGAGACCTTCTCGTTTAGGCCGCCTAAAAGTTCGTAGAAACGCATCTTCGGATCAACTGGCTTTTGCCTCGCGTCCGTTCTGTACCGCTCGTTACGTGGTTTTAGACATTCCAACCTCCAAGTGGTCGACGGCGTATACTTCAGCTCCTGGATACATAAGTCAAATAGATCTGGAATCGGTACCTCTGCATGCTGTAGCAAGCACCCCGATATCCATCCCTTGACTCGCCTAGACTTTTGGGCTTCCTCCATGGCGGTAGCTATCCTGATATTAACCCGCGAACAAACGCTACCAAAAGCGTCTCTCAAATATTGGTGAACAATACCACCAAGCTCCACATAGTCTAAGCTGCACCTGTCGAAATCCTTTTCCTCAATTCCGGCCAACTTCCCCTGTCGGCCGCGCATCAATTGGTCCAGTTTTTTGCCTATTGCTTCTGGAGACAAGTTCGCGACCTGGCAGGGCTCGTCGTTCCTCGGTCTGGTCCCAGGACGGTAAATAGGAGCCACCGCGGGTTTTGGACGAGTGTTACGCGTCCTGGAAACTATGTCTCGAAGTTCGTGGCCGGATATATACGTCTTTGCGAAAATCTTCGTTGCAAAGTCGCTCGCGGTGATCCTGTTCGTGGGCAATATCTTTTCTCGACCGAGCAGCAGCTCCTTCCTATTTGTTGTAGCTGCCCTTTGAACGTACTTGGAGTATGGTACGCTATCCTTGGTAAGAAATTCAAATGCCGTCGTACGCGCTGCCGGTATGTATCCTAAAGTATCAACGATAAAATCAATTAGCTTTTTTGTGGAGACCCCGGCACGTTGTAGTAGGCAGCCTGCGATCCAATGGTTTCGCAGTCTTCGTCCTCCCACTCCTTGCAGCAACCTTGAGACCGTCTCCTGTGCCTTTTCCGAGACATCCCCAAAGGGAGAGGTGACAAACAACGAAATGATTGTGCCCAGCTCCACGTAAATGAGCTGACACTCCGACAAATCTTTCTCTGTAATACACCTCAATCTACCCCACTCGTATCCGGACAACAACTGCCTGATTCTCGCACGAGCATCCCGCAGATTGGGGAATGTCTCCGCGACGACTGCTATTGATGTGAAGAAGCTGCAAACGTTATTCCTGTATATTGTCATTTCAGAACCTCTCTTTCCGTCCTCGACGAGCTTCCGACTCAACAACGAGCTCACTGGCAATGAGTTCATAGGCAACGACTCCCTGGTTACCGATCCATCTTCCACTGATTTCTGCCTCACAGCGGCTCCTATAGCCAGAACACCAGGGGCCCAACAGTCCGTCTCATACCACGGAACGGCCGCCCGCATTCCCTCCTCCTGTTCTGACAAATTAATTTTTTCAAAGAGGCGGGAAGTAGCAACCTTTCTCGCTGCTTATCTTCTGGCGTGAGTACGAGCCGGTGGAGGTCCTGTAATGAGAGAACTGGAGAGGGTTAGTGGCCAGACTCCACCCATTGAAGAAATTCAATGAGGTCGTCGGGGTGACAGTACATCATTTCAGGGTCGAGGACCGTCCGGCCTGGTGCACTTGGAACTGTTGGACCTAGGGCTGTTGCAGTTGGGACTGTTGCATTCGGAGCTGTGCCATCTGGGACAGTTCTGTAACCAGATGATACAAATGCAGAGTAGCGCTCGAAAAGAAACTCTGCTTGTGCCTGTACGGTCAAGGAAGCCAGTCGCTTGAACTGGGGGACGGAGATCTTCTCCCGAAGGCCGCATAAAAGTTTAAGGAAACGAGTCTTCGGTTCCACATTCCCTCTTCTCTGGCGTGCTCTGTACAGATCACTATGCCCCTTGAGACAATCCAGCCTCCAGACAGTCGGCGGCCTGTGCTTCAGTTCTTGGATACACAAGTCGACTAGATCTTCAATCGGTACCTCTGCGTACTGCAATAAGCACGCTGATATCCACCCGTTGACTCGTCGAGATCTGGTACCTTCCTCCATGGCGGTGGCCGTTTTATTCAGAACGCGTCGACACACTCCACCAAAAGCGTTGCGCACATACTTATCAATGACAGTTCCGAGCTCCGCATAGTCCAGACTGCATGTCTTGAAATCATCGTCTTCAATTACCAACAACTTCTCCACACGGCCCTCCAGCAATTTGGCTGCTCTTGCACCTACTTCGTGTAGCAAGAGTGTACCGGGCACACTGTTGCGTACGGACCTTTCTAAACTGCCGGTGCCCGGACAGTATACAGGACCAGCCAGTTTCTCCAAACGAGAGTTTAGTCGTCTAGGCCCTGCCCGTCCACCTCCAGTGGGACAGTTCGCGGCACACCCGATCTCTTCGACAAATTCGGCTACTGTAATCTTCGCCGCAGGCAGAATCCTTTCTCGCTCGAGCAGCAACTCCCTTCGGTCCTTCGTAGTTACCCTACGGACGTAGTTGCTGTATCGCATTTCACATTTGTTGAGACACTCGAGCGACGCCGCGCAATTCGCCGGCACGTACCCCAGAGCGTCAACAATAAAGTCAATTAATTTCTTCGTAGAGACCCCGGCACGCTGCAGCAGGCAGCCGGTGATCCAGTTGTTCTGGATCCTTCGTCCGCCGGCCCCTTGCAGCCACTCGCCTACTGTCTTCTGCGCTCTTTCTGTGACGCCGCCAAAAGGACAATCGACAAACAAAGAAATGATTGACGCAAGCTCCACATAGATTAGCCGACACTTCCACAAATCCGTCTCCGTAGTTCGCTTTAAGTTATTCCACTCCTCTTCCGAGAGCAACTCCCCCAAGATTGCACGGGCGTTGCCGACAGTCTGGAAAACGCGCCCCTTGACTGCAAACGCTGACAGACCGCTGCAACCGTTATGCCAATAAACCATCTCCCTAGAGCCCCCTGTTTCGCCACCAACAAGCGACGACTTCCTGCACAACGGCTTCGCGGCTAGCGGATCCACGGCCACTGGCTCCAGGACTACTGGTTTCAGCACCGACTGGTGCGAAGCGCTCATTCCTACAGCCAGAATGCCAGAGGCAAAACGAGATGCCGCCTCATGGCACGGGGCGAGCGATCGCATTCTGGAGGTAGCGTTCCGTTGGCGAAATTTTGAGAATCCCAGGCAGGAAGTCCAACCAGGCAGGGATCGCCAACCAGGCATCCAACAAAGATCGCGTTTGTGACAGGATCGACCAGCCAGGCGGGGCGGCTGTTGTGACAGCAGCTGCGCTGGGAGGAGCGCGTGTGGACCGAAACTTCGCGTCTGGGACGGTGAGCGACTGCTTCACGGTGTTCACAACTCATTGTTTACTGACGACTCGTCACTAACGCAATAAGTCACACATTAGGAGGTCAACATAGACTGCGGTGGGCATCAATCAATTGTGTTGCATTACGACGCAGATTAGTAATCCACCTAGCGAGTGGGAAAAAAAAAGTTAACGGCAAAAAGACACACTTTCGCGGGAGAAGTGAGAACCGTAAGGGGGCTAATGATGGCTTGATTCCACCCAGTTGAGAAATCCAATGAGGTCGTCTGGGTGGCAGTACATCATTGCAGGGTTCTGGACGGTCGGATCCTGGACGACGGCCGGATCCTGGACGACGGCCGGATTTTGGACGACGGCCCGATCCTGGACGACGACCGGGCCCTGGACGACGGTCGGGTCTAGCATACTTGAAGTCGGTCCTGTCGCGGTTGGTTGGGTGGAACATCTGCTGTGATCTTTGGATTCCAACGAGGTGGCGAAAGCCAAGTAGCGCCCATAAAGAAAATCTGCTTGTTCCTGTGTGCCCAAGGCCATCAGTCTTTTGAATTCAGGAATGGAGACCTTCTCGTGCAGGCCACCTAGAAGTTCGTGGAAACGTGTTTTCGGTTCTACAGGCTTTCGTCGACGGCTCATTCTGCACAATTCACTGTACTTCAGACATTCAAGCTTCCAGCCGACGGAGGGAGCGTATTTGCATTCATTCAGACATAAGTCAACAAGGTCTGAAATTGGGACCTCTGCATACTGCAGTAAGCATCCTGATATCCAACCTTTGAGTCTTCTGGACCGCGTATTTTCTTCCATGGCTGCAGCGATACGGGCGAGAACACGAGAACAAACTCCGCCGAAGGCATCCCGAACATGTTTGTCTACAATTGTACATAGTTCCACGTAGTCCAGGCTGCATGTGTCAAAATGCTTAACCTCAATTTCAACCAACTTTTGCAAACGTCCGTCGAGCAGTTCGCTGACTTTCCTGTATATATTCTCCAGAGAAGAGAAGGGCTTGGCATAAGATGGGCGAAGGCCTGCACGAAGTCGGTAGACAGGAGAAGGAGCCACTGCTTTTGGGCGAAGCTTGATCGGTTTCGCTTTGGCTATTCTTGGACGTCCTCGAAACGCAACTCTTAAGGGTATCATTTCTGCAAACTCGTGTGCTGTAAGCTCGGTTGTTGGTAGATTCCGTTCTCGGTTAAGGAGCAACTCCCTTCTGCCCTTCTTAGTGGTCCTTCGCCCGTATCTCGCGTACCGTAGTCTGCTTTTGGCAAGACATTCTAACGCCGCCCAACGGTCAGCCGGTACGTATCCCAGGGTGTCAGTAATAAAATCAATTAGCTTGCGTGTAGAGACCCCGGCACGCTGAAGTAGGCACCCTGCGATCCAGTTATTCGTTATTCTCAGCCCCCCGACTCCTTCCAACCACTCACGTACTGTCATCTGCGCTTTATCTGTAACCTGGCCAAAGGGACAACGAACGAACATCCATATAATCGCTCCCAGCTCCACATAGATCAGCTTACATTTCCACAAATCCGCTCCCGTAATTCCGTGTACCTTCTTCCACTCATCTTCTGACAATAATTCATCCAGCTTCATATGAGCGTCACCGACAGTCTCGAAAACATGACCCATCACCGCCAACGTTGTCAAACCTCTCAAGCCCTCGCCTCCGTAAACCTTCTCGTCGTTGCCAACCAATGCACTCGCCGGCAATACGCCCACTACTGATCCCGGAATCAGCGATGCCGACGGCGGCATCGATTCACGCCAAATGCTCGAACAACCCACAGCCAGAACGCCAGCCACAAAACACGAAGTCCCTCCACGCCTCCGCAACAAAGCCCGCATCCCAAATTAATTTTGAAATAGGACCCTGCGACGGAAGTGGATTTCGAAAAGTGAACTCTGCGAACTGCGAGGACACTATCGGGCAATAGAGCGAGGATTGGCAGGCACGGTATGTCAAGGCATGGTATGTCAAGGCATGGTATGTCAAGGCATGCTATGTCAAGGCATGGTATGTCAAGGCATGGTATGTCAAGGCATGGTATGTCAAGGCACGTTCCACAAACCGACGCCGATGGCAAACCGACAGCTGATTATTGGTAATTGATGACTGTTTCTATCTACTCACACTTGAGCATCTCTGCCCACACTTTAGCACGCGAGCGTGATCTCGTGATCGTGATCTCGTGATGGCGATCTGGTGATCGCGGGCGTAGCGCACACACTCGTTTTTGGCGGTGGCGGGAATGTCCGGCGTACCGATTCGCCACAGTCGGTACGAAAGATCATGGTTGTCTACTTTCGTGCCAGCTTTGGCGTTTAGCGTGCTACTTGATCAGTCTGGTGAGCGTGTATGAGGGTGGCAGCCTGTGTGCACGGGCGGCAACCATCCGAACAGTTGCAGAAGTGGAGGAGGAAATATAGGGCAGCTCTGAGTCGCCCGCCGTTAAGATGCTAGTTTGAGTCCACCCAGTGAACAAATTCAATGAGGTCGTCTGGGTGACAATACATCATTGCTGGTTCCAGGACGGTCCTGTCTGTGGCCGGCGAACTTGAAGTTGGTGAATTAATCCCGGAGTCTGCGGACTTGTTTTCCGAGCACCGGAATGCGTAATAGCATTCGCGAAGAAACGAAGTTTGTTCCACGCTGCACATCAATGACAGTTTATTGAATTCAGAAATAGAGATCTTTTTACGTAGGCCACACAAAAGTTGGTGGAAACGCGCATGAGCATCCTCAGGTCTTTTTCTCTTGTGAACCCTGGACAGTTCGCTACGTCTCTTCAAGCATTCGAGTCTCCAACAAACTGCCGGTGTGTACTTGAGTTCCTTTATACAAAACTCAATTAGGTCTGAAATTGGTACTTCTGCAAATTGTAATAAGCAGCCCACAATCCACCCTCGAACACGTCGAGATCCGATGCCTTCCTCCATAGCTCTAGCTATGTTGTATACAACAAATGGACGTACTTCACCAAAGCACATATTCTTATCAATAATTGTACCAAGCTCGAGATAGTCCAAGCTGCATGCTTCGAAATCTTGGTCCTGAATTCCATCCAATATCTGGTCGCGTGCCCCCAGCAGTTTGGTCCCTTTTCTTTGCATATCTGTCAGAGACGAGTTTGTAGGATCCGATTTTATAAGAGGCGATCGTATATGAGATGATGCAGGCAAAGGCTCCATGGGTTGACGGGACCTCGACAGGACCTGTTCTGCAAACTCGAACGCTGTAATCTCGTTGGCTGCCAAACTCTCTTCTCGTTTCAGCAGCAGTTCCCTTGTATCCCCCATAAATGTCCTCTTCCAGTAGTTCGAATATCGTAACTTGCATCTAACAACACATTCTAACACCTTCGAGCGACCAGCGGGCATATACCCTAAAGTGCCAGCAATAAAGTCAATTACCTTGCTTGTTGAGACCCCGGAGCGCTGCAGTAGGCACCCAGCGATCCAGTTATTCGGTATCCGGATCCTCCCGGCTCCTTCCAGCCACTCGCATACTATCCTCTCCGCTCTTTCGGTGACGCCGCCAAAAGGAAAACGGATAAATATCGAAATGATCGTGGCAAGCTCCACGTAGATTAGCCTACACTTCCACAAATCCCTCTCCGTGATCTCCCTTAGGTTCCTCCATTCGTCTTTGGACAGTAATTCTGACAGCTTCTTCTTAGCATCGATAGGACATTTGAACACCCCTCCTTTGGCTGCGATATTTGTCAATCCACTCCAACGATATCTCCAAATCTTCTTGTCATCGACCCCTTTGTCATCGACCCCTTTGTCATCGGCCCCTTTGTCATCGACCCCTTTGTCATCGACCCCTTTGTCATCGACCGCTTCGCCACGAGTCGTCGGTAGCAATGGCTGTGTGACCAATGATCCGACCGGCTCTGTTATTTGTGGCCTCTCTTCCGCCGGTTGGTGCAAGATGCTTGCTCCTATCGCCAGAATGCCAGAGGCAAAACACGACATCCCTCCACGACATCGCAAAAGTGACCGCATCCAAAAGTGAGCGCAAATTAATTTTAGAGAGTGGTCGGGGCGGGTAGTTGCCGGTGTGTGCTGCCAAGCTGCGACTCACCCAAACCCGTGTGCTCTCTATCTGCAGGAGTGTTTTCAAAGGTAGACTACCACGAGCTGAACTGATCACTGAGCCAAGGGGTACCAACTTGTAGTCCTTGGGAACGTGGTACGGACGTTAAGTCCGGATACGTTCCTTATAGAAATTTACTACTCATGACACTTGATAGTCGCTCACTAGTACGAGTCATGTGGATCGTAACCTCTATATTAACAAATCCGAAAACATCCAGCTTCACGGATCAGCATGAAGGGGTGGGCCCTTCTGTGCTGGATTGTCAAGGGCCGGTTTTCGGTTGTAGCAAAATAGACGCGCGGCCCACAACACTCGAAGTCTTGTGTGCCGCCCGTGTATTTCGAGCACATCAGCGTGAAGGCCGGAGGGGGCGTGTGAGTTGTAGGGGGCCCTGTTGGCTCAACTCCACCCAGTCAACAAATTCACTGAGGTCGTCTGGGTGGCAGTACATCATTGCAGGGTCGAGGACGGTCCGGTCTGTGACGCTACCACCTTGGCCAGCGGTCAACGAGGGGGAGCAGCCGTCCGCCGCAGACGGCTTCCTTCTTTTGGTACCGAATGTGGCTGCTGAACTTTCATTAGGAATTGCCTGTGTCGCAGGCGGTGCTGCAGAGCGTTTGTGACCACCAGAGAGTTTCAATGACACCTGGAATGATAAGAAGTGTTCACGAACATACGTTACTTGTTCCCTACCGCTCATCAACATAAGTCGCTTAAACTGAGGAAGGGAGATCTTCTTGTCTAGGCCGCACAAGAGTTGATGGAGACATGCCTCCGGGGTTAACAACTTTTGTTTGCGATGACCTCGTTCCCAATCACTGTGCCGCCTCAGGCATTCAAGTCTCCAGGCAACCGGGGGGGAGAACTTAAGCTCATGGACACACAAGTCAATAAGGTCTGAAATTGGTACCTCTGCATACTGCAGTAAGCACCCTGATACCCAAGCCCGGACTCGGCGAGATCTGATTGTTTCCGTTAAGGCGGTTGCTGTCATGTCAAGAATCCGGCCACATGTCCTGCCAAAGGCATCACGGACATGTTTATTGATAATTGCACCAAGTTCCACGTAGTCCAAGCTGCATGCCTCGAAATCTTGATCCTCAATTGCCGCCAACTTCATTTCACGGCAGCCCAACAACTTTCTCACCTTGCTACACACATCTTCCAGACACACGCTGGCGAGCGGATGAGAATTTCCGGGACTCAGGACAGATCGGATTTGAGGAAAAGATACAGTTGGTTCCGCGGGAAGGGGCCCCTTACCGATCCGCCGCAGTTCACGAGCGGTAATTGTCGGCAGTGGAAATATGTCCTCTGCGAATTCGCGCGCCGTAATCCTCATCGTCGGCAACATCGCTTCTCGGCGGAGCAGCAACTCTCTACTATCCCTCGTATGCGACCTGCTCGAATACTTCCAGTACCGCAATTCACTTTTAGCAAGACATTCTAGTGACGGCAGCCGTTCCGTGGGCTTGTAGGCTAAAGTGTCAATGACGAAGTCAATTAACCTGCCTGTAGAGACCCCCGCACGCTGCAATAGGCAACCTGTGACCCAGTTGTTCCGGATCCTAACACCCCCCGCCTCTCGTAACCAGTCCGCTACCATCATCTGCGCTGTTTTTGTCACGTCCCCAAAAGGACAGTCGATAAACATCGAAATGATTGCACCGAGTTCCACATAAACCAGCGCACAGTCCCACAGATCCATCTGTGTAATCCCCTTCAATTTCTTCCATTCGTCTTCGGACAGCAACTCATTCAGCTGAGCACGTGCGTCGTCCATGCCTTCGAAGACCTGTCCTATAACTGCAAGTGCAGTCAAACCCGTGCAAGTGTTATCCCAGTATACCGTGTTCTCAAAACCCCCCGCTTCGCCTTCGAGCAGTGCCGACTTCGGGGCCAATGACCCTGGGATCAACGAACAGAGTGTTCTGGCTGGTGACTCCGTCTCGGATAACTCCTTGCGCAACGGCGCCGTCGCTTGTGGACCCGTCTCCACTGGTTGGCTTGAGATGTTTACTGCCAGAATGCCGGCAGCAAAACTGAACGCCGCTCTAGGACATCGCACTGGCACTCGCATCACCGGCCTAGTTAAATTTGCGGACCGGGCTTGCCCCTAGCTTGCGGAATAGGCAGCCTCGCGGAGAGGCAGCCTCACGAGCCGTTCACTTTGGGGCATACGCATGCTTTAGGAAAGCCCGGTCCGAGTCTGTGTCCGGGAGTGCTGCCGTTTGTTACAAGTAATCTGAAGGGATTTTGACCCCCAAAGAGCCGTTTCTCTTATCCCGTGGAGCTACCTCTTTGTCCTAGCCAGCACCGAGACGTCCAACTATCGAGAATGAAACGCAAACGGGGAGGATAAACCGGCGGGCGCCCGACCTTTGCTTTCCCGTCCGCGATCGCCAGTCGATGTCTTGGACGGACAACAGGCGCCCGAACCAACGAGCCGGTCGAAGTGGTTCGATCCCTCCTATGCACGGCCCTGATCAGAGCCTCAACGCTTCACGACAGCGCCCACCGGTCAAGAGAAACTACAGGATGAGCAAAAAAAACGGGAACCTGTTGGGACAGTCATGTGTTCGAGCGTGGGGTCGATCTCGCGCCATGAACTCGGGTTCACCACACGAGTCCATGAGATGAGACATCGTGAGCCAGCAAGCACCGTTCATGGATGGAAGGTTGCTTGAGGGACGATGCCTGGAATTGGGTGGTAGTGTGATGCCGGCTTTTCCGCTGTCTCCGGCCGAAGGGTGACAGCCCGGGTGGTTTCGAGTTGGGGGTTCAGTTCCCGTTCTCTTGTGTCCAGCGCGACTTTGTTAGGTTGAACTTCTTGCTGGCAAACTCGACGGGCACTTCGGCGTCTCCTTGCACCTGTTTGAGTACAGTCCCCGACCCCTCCCCAGCTCGGACGCGTCGGTCTCTACGATGTACTTGCCATTGTCGCCGGGGGCATGCAGCGTGACGGTGTTCTGGACGGCGTGTCGAACATAGCCGTACCCGTCCGTCCCGCCACTCGTAGGTCCTGTCCTTCTCGAACAGGTCGAACAGCGGCGCCGTGATGTGTGAGAACTCGGGGATGGAGGGCCTCAGATAGCCGCACATCCCCAAGAAGCTTTGTAGCTCCTTCTTGCTGGTGGGGGCCGGTGCGTTGACGATTGCTCGAGACTTCTTCTCCTGGGCTCGTCCGGCCGACGACGTGCCCGAGGTACTTCACTTCATCCTTGAACCACTCGCTCTTGTCCAGGAGCAAGTAGAAGAACGGGTCTTCCTGCACTGTTCTAAGAAGAGCTTAACCCGCCGCAGTACGCTGTCGAAGTCCTGTCCGCAAATGACGATGTCGTCAATGTAGCAGAACGCATTCTCTCCCAGCAGCGGTGCGAAGCAGGAATCTATGGCGCGTTGGAACTCAGCGGGCGAGTTTTTGATGCCGAATGGGACGACATTGAACGCGAAAAGGCCAGTCGGAGATATAAAGGCGGTGAGCGCCTTGCACCCCTCCCCGACTGGCACGTGCCAGAACCCTGAGTTCATGTCTAGCGTGCAGCAGTACCTCTGTCCGGCGGCCCGTCGCAGATGCTCCCAGATGCGTTGAAAGAGGTAGGAGTCTGCTGCCATGACCGCGTTGAGCCTGCGGTAGCCGATGACGCACCTCCATTCCCCGATCTTCTTCTTTACGACGTGAGGAGCGGCAGCCCACTCGCTGACTCGGGTGACTCCGAGCTCCAGTTGCTTCGCGACCTGCGTCTTCAACTCCTCTTCCAGCATTTCGTGTTCGTAGTGGCGGACCCTGGCCTTGTGCGGGAGTCCTGCTGCCTCGAACCGCGCTTCGTACTTGACCTGCGCCACCTGGGTCTTCCCACGTGTTCTTGAACTCCTCCAGGAGCTCCCACAGCCGCTCGCCGTCCATGTGCTGTACGTTTTGCTCAAAGAGCCGATTCTGCCGCGCGTGGTTCGTCTCCAGTGCGAGTGTCGTAGCCGCCATTGGCGGTTCCAAGGGCGGGGTCTCTCTGCAGTTCGGGGCAGATAGTCTTAACTTGCGCACAGGGCCATTCCGGTCGGGCCTACCGTGGGCAGTAGGTCCATGGCGGGTGTGCCCAGTAGGTTGGGCAAGTCATTTGGCGGCACGACCGCGAAGGTGATGTCCTAGTACCGTGCCGATTCTCGTGCTTTGCCCTGAGAATGGCACGCTCGCTCTCTCTCTGTTGAGCTCTCCAAGTAGACTGACTCCGGCTGTGCGATTTTGAGAAAGGCTGCTTCAACCTCATTCGTCCGTGTCCGGAGGGCTCTGGTCGGCTGCTCGGCCTCCGCGTCATCGTTCGTCCGCATCCCGGTAGCTTCAGGTGACGCTCTCTTCCGACGCTTGCTGTCGTATCGGGTGCGCTCGACCCCCACTATTTTGCAGGTCAGCTTGTCAGCTCTTCTGATGTTGCCACCCACTTTGACTTGGAGGCGTCCTTGCGACGTTTCTGTCAAAGAGTGGACGGGCTTCCGGTCCTGGTGGTATGTAGTACGGCACACTTTTCTCCAGTGTCCTATTCGACCGCAGTTGTCACAGCGTGGGCTCCGTGCTGAGCATCCCTCTCTTTCTCCGTGGCGGGGGAGTCCGCAGTTGTAGCAGAGCCGCTTCGATCTTATTTGTTGTGGGGACAGTACACCGTCGATGTCGTCTTCTGGTTGCTCTCGGACCCTCTCCCCCGTTGCGACGATGGCCAGCACGGGCGTCCCTTGCCAGCTGTAGGTTGCAAGACGTCGAACAGGCTCGCCCCAGTGTTCACGTCCACAATCCAGGTCCTCCACCGCCACGTCAAGGATGCGCCACTCCAGAAATTTGCGCCACTCCAGGAATTTGCGTGATATGGTCTCTGTGGCACCACAGCGGCGGGCGAGTCTTACGCGGCGCGTTAGTCGTCGGTTGAGCAGTTCCCTGAGTTATGGAAAGTCTCCGGATTGGATGGTCGCAATCGCCACGTGCATGTTGGCGACGTAGTTGCTGATTGGGAGCATTCTCGTGGCAATGTCTAAGACGAAGTGTTCGACTTTGGTGGGTACGTCCAGCAGGTCGAATTGCCTGGACTGTGGGATTCTGTTCCACAGTAGTTGAATCACGGCGGTTTCTTCCATGTTGAATGCTGCATGTCGGACTCCGGCCGCTTCGGAGTCGACCCAGTCTTCGAATCGCTGCTCGTTGATGAGGCCAGCTTCGGGCCACGGCGACTCGTGAAGCCGACTCGTTTCCTTCACACTTGTCCATCAGCTATGGTGGCAGGAACCTCGGCATGTACTGTCAACCCATCCAGCAGCTGTTGCCAGTGAGTTGTCCGTGGTGGGCTGGGTGGCCGGGGCATCGCTATTGCCGTTGTCCCTGGGTTCGGAATCGTTGTTAGTGGCTGCGATGTCCGGCAGTTGTCCGTGAATTTGTGGGTCTTGGTCGTGGAAATGAGTTGTGACAAAGACACGAAATAAAATTTCTTTTGAGATCGTTATGTCCCTGTCCGGCTCGGCTGGTTATGACCCGAGGGCAGGGTGCCCAGGCGAAGGCAACACAACCCGCGACCGACTGCTAAAACTTCATTCATCCACGCTTCAAAGTCTACCTGATCGATTCCGTTCTTCGTCCACCTGCGTCACTACCACGGTCTCGCAGTTCACTGAAGCGTTGCGCGCAACTCCACGCGCGCCGTCTAGATCGATCGAGCTCGACGTACTCTGCCGGTACCGTGTCTTGGCCCACTATCCTCGTGCCCACATCACCGGCGGAACCGGGGTCAACAACGTGAATAATGCGCACCTCGCGCTTGACAGTATGGTCATTCTGCCACACTCGAGACCTGGATCCGTCCGTAGTACGTTTTTTTCAGCGAGTTTTACGATAGGTTTGGGCACATCACGACCGAGCAATGACAGAGCAAATAAAATTCGAGAGGGATGAGGCAGCTGGTCTGTTCGACCAGGGCTAACGGGTTGGCCTTTTGTTGGCTGGCGGTGGGTGGTTGTGTGTTTGAAGTGAAGAATGGTCGAACAGGGGTGAGTACGTTGAACTCGGATAGTGGGTTGACAAACTCAGATAGTGTCTACGTGGACGATCGGCTCATTGGGTTGACGGAGTATGCAACGTTTTGCAATGAGGATGCGACTGCTCAGCTGGCGAAATTGTTGTCAGAGTCGGAGTGGCAGCGTTTGCGGTCAGTGGAAGCGGCGGACTTGTGGGAGTGTACGTTGGTGTACGTAGAGTTGGCAGCGATAATTTTGTTGTTTGCGGACAATCCATTTGGGAGTGTGTGTGAAGTAGCGAAGGCGGAGTGGCCATTGGAATTGGTACGGCGACGTTGGGAGGTGGGTTGCCTATTGGAGCGTTCGGGGGCGTTGGTGGAGAAGTTGGCGAAGTTTTGCGTGCAAACGTTGCGCTACATGTCCACGCCGTTCCACTGGGCCTTGGAGTGTCTGACGATACCAGATCGGGTGCAATACGCCAGCCGGGTGCGTTACGACGCCGCCACTGCCCGGGCCGCTTTCCAGAAGCGCGCTAAAGAACTGTACGTCACCCTCACGGCTCCCGAGTTTATTCGCCTTTGGGTTGATCGACATTCAATAATCCCAAAGAAGGACTTGGTCGAGAAGGCGGGCGGGATCGAAAATTCTCTCGCGCACTTTCTGGCGAAACTCAAGGGCCCGCTCCGACCCCTGTCCTGGGTGGCGGCGTCAACGAATCCGAAGGGGCCGTACCGGCGAACGGGGGGGAGTTTCTTGCGATGCGCGCACATACGCACGACCGGACACATCCTGAACCGCGAGCGGGCCCGGGAGATATTGTGGGACCTCCTCGGGGGCTCTCTGGCCTGGAACAAGCTGGACGCCATGAAAGAGATTGATTTTATGGCCTGCAGTCTGGCGTATGTGGAGCTCGCCGCCATCGTAGAACGGGTCATATTTCAAGCCTTTGGGAGCGCCGCGCCCAGTCTGTTGAAGAAATTCGAAGCCGTCATAACCGATAAACGCATCGTCTACGCCTGGATCGGCGGCTGCATCCTCCAGTTTGCGCAAGTACCCATCTCAGACCTCATCCACTTCTGCGCGCTCGACCTACACTACCAACCGTCTACCGACTACTGGACGCTCGAGTGCATCAGACAGGGACCCGAGGACATCCGGCGAGAGAGAGCATCGGGAGACCCCAGCGTTCGCCTCACCGAATTGCTAGCCGGCTTCCAAGAAAAAATGTCCGTCACAGAATTCGCCGAGCTGGCAGCCTTAAAACGACGCGACAAGGCAACCCGCCTCAGGCAACGCGCCTCCGCTCATCGACTCAACGAAAACACCCACACCCAGAAGCCAGACGGACCAAGGGGGGTCCAACTCACAAGTAGTCACCAGTTAAACGTCCAATTTTCAGCGGCTCGGCTTCTGGCCTTTTCTACTAAAGTCAAGACCGGAGCCGGAGAGGACAAGACCGGAGCCGGAGAGGACAAGACTGGAGCCGGAGACGACAAGACTGGAGCCGGAGACGACAAGTCTGGAGCCGGAGACGACAAAAATGGAGTCGTCTTGGTCGGAGTCGAAAAGGTCATGAGAAAAAGGAAAGAGATAGACCAGAGTAACACCGGTGGGCAACCTGCACCCCGAAGGCGGGGGACTGTATGTCGAAAGGAAAGAAGGGCAGCGTTTCCCGGTCAAGCCGCGCACTCTCCCGGCATCGGTCAAGCGGAGCACTCTCCCGACGTGGGTCAAGCGGAGCACTCTCCCGACGTGGGTCAAGCCACGCACTCTTCGGCCCCGCTAGACCCTGAGTTCATGTATTGCCACCCAAAAGACATGATCGAGTTTCTCCACTGGGCGGAGGATGCAGGGCAATTGGGACACGTTACGGCAGACTCCAGCTTTGTATCAGCAGCGACGGTTGCGTGGCCACAGGCCGGAAGCACTTGCCTGTCCGGCAGCGCAATTGTTCGTGACGGGACGGACAGGAGGGGAGGATGTACCCAGTCCCTTTCGTGCAGAAAAAGATTTTGTCTTCTAGCTTGCTTTGCGCGATTGCAGACCGCACCATAAAGGCAGCGCCATAAATGGAGGTTCACCCAAAGAGTGATGTATCTTGGGAGTGAATGTACGGTCAGGGATGCGGCTACATATTTTGTTGCTTTTCGGAGCCGCGCAAACAAAAGTGTGTGCGCACATACCAGTTAATCCGTTTAACCAGGAGAATAATTTAAAAAGAAGCCTGGTTTTAGGAGGAGTTGTGATGAGATCTTCAATTGCAGGCGGGTCGGTGGAAACGAACACGTTGTTGTTGGGTGCTATAGTAACATGTGAGGTGTTTGGTAAGACGGTGGATTTGGTGAAAGCCGTTGCGCCGGTAAGGCCGTGGGATTCAATAAGCACATTAATGGTCGACGGTTTAAAGTTACTGGAGAACATACCGGACCTAGTAGTGGGGATGCCCGGTGTGGAGCATGTAGACCTGTCCACAGAGGAGCTGGATGGTCTGCATGCCGAGGTTACGGAGAACTGGAAGTTGCGTTCCAGAATCATGGTGATACAAAGCGATTGTCTGCATGCTATCGATCAAGTGTGTCAAGCACACCCACAGACGTGTGGAGTTCCGATGGATCTCAGGGGGAAAATTCAACAGTGGCTGGATGTTTTTCGAAAGGACGCGGAATGGGACAGGTCCATGTTTCCTGGAGTAGAGGCAACCACCATGAAGGATTTGAAGTTTGCCATGCTAGGGCTCTCCCGACTCCCCGGGACGCATGTGCCTGCTATCCTTCTACCAGAACTGATGCCCTGGAGCCCCGACGCGGTCCTGCGCAGTCTGTGGAAAGATGCCAAAGCCCGGCTAGAAGCGGGGGACTGCGATACCAAGGACGACGAAGGCGTGATGAACGCACTCGTGGTCTGGGATACTTTCAAAGCAAAAGTAAGAGAGCAGGCGGAACGCGGCTGCGGTTTTTCACAATAATTAGGTTGTCTTGGAGAACCCATACTTTCTGGGATTAGACTAACAGGCCGGTATCAGAGTCGTTAAGACGAGCTTGACTCAGCGGTCGGGACGAGTCCGGTTTGAGGATCGACAGGTCCCTTACCATGGGGCGTGACGCTGCGGTAGGTCGCTGGCTCCGGCGCCGGCGCCGGTTCTTGTTCCTGTTCCTCATAGATGAGGCGTTGTTCTTCGCTGAGTTGTATGACCCTCCAGGGTTCTCCGCAACGGTTGGCCCAGGCGGCCTTTTCGTCTTCGCCCCCCTCGACCGGAAACGCTACGAGCCGCCCGCAGCGACCGCCCAGATCGCGCTTCCGCACACACCACATCGCCGCCTGGTCGGCGACTACTTGGCCGGTCTGGCCGGCCTGGTCGGCGACAGCCTCTCCCTTGACCGGTAGGACGAGTCGGTCGTAGTTGACGGGACACTGGCGCCAGTCCTTGGCGGGACTGGTAGCGCAGGGGTACTCGAACCAGCAGAACGTGCTGAGTTCGAGTAGAACACGGCGCACACTTCCCGCTCGCCTATCCAGCAACGGGGCCATGTCCAACGCGCCGGAACACACGCCCACGTAATCCGCCGCCGGCACACATGATACCGCCCGGCCCAGCAGCGCTGCCGGCGTTGTCTCCTCCGCCGCTACGCCGTCCACCATCAGTACCCAACCCAGTGGACACACCCTCGCAAACACGTCCCGATGGCATCCCGCCATCCCATACAACTTCTTCCGAACAACTGGAATGGACGAGGGCGGGGGGGGGGGGGGGGCAAGGTGGGGTGGTCGAGAAGAGGGGGGGAGGTGATGGTTACGGCGGAGGGGGGAGGTGGAAGGGAGGGTGAATTACGGAGGCGACGGCTTTGGCGAGGATGGGGAAGACGTAGGGGCGTAGGTCGACGTGGTACTTGTTTGCGCGAGTCAGGATCTCTTGGTAGCGCGATTGCGCAGCCGCATCTGCGTCGCTCTTCTTCTGGTGCGGCCACTCAGGCACGTCGTCCTCATCCGCGTCC